AAAAAAAAAAAAAAAAAAAAAGATCAGGATAAATAACACACCCTTGGTATATGATATGTTTTCAGTCTTGAAACAACCTGAGCTGACTTCCTCTGAGTTCAATCTGGCATGATTTATTCGCATGCAATCACACACTAAGAAAGACATGACACAGTACTAAAATAACTCACTACAGCTATTCTAATATTTTAATACCAATATTAGAACTGTTTCAGTAAAAGTCAAAACTTCATCTTTTCAAATCAAAGTTTAATAGAAAGTATTTCAACACATTAAAGAAGCATATTTTAACTGATGGAGGATCTTCTCACATTGAAAGGTATACTTTAGCAATACACTCTGAGAAATCCTGACAAGGAGATATGTTGGGAGGGGGGGGGGGCGATCCATCTCTGAGGGGTTTCTCTCTAAACTGCTTTCAGCTTTAGCCACTTAGATGTCTGGCATGCCTACTGAGCCAGTTAAACAACAATTGATTACCCCCTAGCAGCTTCAGTAGATGTGACAGACATCTAAGCTGCTTAAGTTGATTGCAATTTAGCAAGAATCCCCTTGAAGATAGATTGATCCACACGTGTATCTGGATAGAGCCCAACTGTGTTTTTCTACCTTGTGACAATAGGGTCTGCTGCATGGTTCGGCCCCCAACGTCCTAAATGTCCCCGCGATCTAATTCCTGTCCTCCCGACGGGATTCCTGCAAAAGTGAGGTTTTCTTGTCACAACATAAACTGGGAAAGTTAATATGGATATAGAACATTGTAATACTTTATTTGCAAGACATCATTTTGGGTTAACAGAAAAAAAGTAGAAAGAAATGACTCAGGGTTCTTGGGACTGAGGGTCTGAGGGCTGCTTAAGGTGGAAAACCACAAAAAAAAATCATATCTGATTATCAAGACAACAAATTAAATAAGGGCTGTGACATGGATTTTCAACTCGATAATTTAAAATAATACTTCTAATTCTGCCTATTAAAAAGCACACAAAATGCATAAAATTGGAAATCTCTGTCCAGACAGTTCTATAAATCAATAAATTATATGACATAAAGACTAAGATAAGACTTCATAGTTAAAAGAGAGAGTAAATGATATTTCTCTATACAAACATGTTTTTTTTTTTTGGCCCATTACTTACTGTGGTAAGCCATTAACTACTTCATATTGACCCATATGGCTGACCCTGTTTACTTTGCCATGGACAGTATTCCATTTCAAAGGTGGTGGCCCTTTCTCTCTGGAAAGATAGAAAAACATATTGGTACAAAGACATTTTGTGTGCAAGTTAATTGTCAACACACCCATAGCCTACACATGTTTATATTGAGGTTTAATTTAAACTGTTTCTTAAGTGGAGTCATTTCCCTGATGATGATTACTGTTACCTGGAACCACATTTACTTGTAAAACACCTCACCATCTATAAACTACCACTATGATCAGGGATCAATTCAATTCCAATTTTTACCACAGTATTGAGGAATTATGAAGTCACCATTCTGTATCTTATTTTAGTTTCTTTGCACTACAGTAATGATCCTGAGAGCCAAGCTGATCTCCAACATATGTAATAATGGGCAGTTAAACCAATGACTAAAATGGTTTGGTTAAGTTAAAGTAGGAGAAAGAGACAAATATTTAAACAGGTTTGGCAATCTGACACTTATGGGTAAATTTTCAATTAAAACAAATTATATATTATATGAATTATCATTATTATTATTTTAATATCCTTGCTTTAACCAATATAGCGTCTTTAATTAATAAATGATGAATTAGCAAATGATAGCAAAAATGTGTCAATTTGAAAAAGAAACAAATTTAGCTTTTATTTTAATATACAAGCATTGTGCCAGATATAGGACTACAATATGATAAAAGAAAACACCACAACAACTTACGTCACTCCCGGATCTGCCCATACCGGTCCTGAAGACACAGATTCTGAGGTAAATTCCGGGGGTGCATATTCTGGGTAATTTGTCTTCCAGGACACTTTATCATCGGGTACTGCGTAACGCTGAGGTCCACCACGCGGGTACTGACAATTACGACACTTGTAGTGTGAGTTTGGTTTCGGAACTGAAGTCATGGTGGTTGTACTGTTGCTGTTGCCCATATAAAACCGATTCAACTGCAATGAAATAACACTGAATGAGATTAGATTCGGAGAAATTTCAGCTTTAAGTGCTTTTCAGTAATCAATCTGCCAACAATGGCTAAGAGAGCCTCAGTAAGTACACATGCACTACAATATCCAGGTATAACAAACTCATTGATATACCTGAGATTAGATGGGAAAAATAGCATAAAGCTAGCTTGCATTAGACTATAGCTGTGTAATTAACAGTATTGCAAATATGCCATGTATCACCCACTCAAGTATTTCTCAAATATTGATCTCTGTGAATTCAATCATAGCTTTGTAATCACCAAGCCTAATGACACCAAAGGCATGATGGAGTAAATCAACTGTCAAGACTGTCAATCTACCCGACTGAATGTTTCAACCCACATACATGGTTACTTTGTTACCACAACTTTCCAGGGTTCTTGCTGGCTTTTCAATCAAAATAACCCCTGCTTCAAAACATACAGACTCACAATGACTTCCACCTAGCTTCCACATACAAAAGCTCGGAGTTAAAAGTATACCATCATGCTCTTAGCGCTTGAGCTACCAAGCATAGCAGGAACTCGGAAAAGCTTTTAAGGGAACCTGCTGGTGTCATTTCTTTAATTTAGCACTGCTGAGATCAGTTTGAACAGAAAATGTACTAGTCCAAACTTCAGGAAGCTGATCTCAGATCACTTCCTGCCATCTATTTTCTCCATAACCCCTGAGTTAAATAATTGAGCAGCATAGGAAGTAGTATTAGTACGTGGGGTTACAGAAGAACCGCAAACAGGCATCTGGTTATAGAACGTCCCTCCAAGTAAGTCAGCCCCTGTTTTTTGTCTGCATTTCCCATAATTCGCAGAGAACTTGTGAAAGAGAGTAAGCCCCACTGCATTATGACATGTTAACACTTCTCAGAGTGGACCAGGCCAGTGAAATGTACCACTTGTAGTGAAAAGGCCCTAAAACAATTTCTGAAGTCAAGTCAGTCACTAGCAGTGTTAGAAATTAACGCTGGAACGTCTTCCCGGGTTTGACAACTTTCAGAACGGGCTGAGAAGTTTTCCCACCAGGCAAACAGTTGGTCCAGCTACTTTTCAGGATGGCTGGACCTTCGGGCCAGCAACTAATTTTCCTAAGAGGCAAACACTGGGACTCACTAGTAACGGGACCATCAATTTTATCACCATTTTCACAAGTCTACAAACCATACGCTGGGGAAAGGGGAGGGAGTTAATGCCCCCTGTTCACTTTTGAGGAATAATAAAAAGGATGATCCAAATTGCTGTCAAAGGTCATCAATTTTAGAATCTCACCTTGTACACTGAAGGGAGAAGGTGGTCTGGCAAAAATCTAGGCTCTGTAGACTTGTGAAAATAAAAAAATGGATGACCCCCTAGACCTAATTCTATTTAACTACAAATATGACAGAATGGCCTAGGAGCAATTTAGCATTCACATGGTTTGTGCAAATATTAGCTTATTTATATTATGGCTTCTGAAGAAGCCAGTTCTACCTCCAAGGTGCATTTTTGTACTGAAAATTATTTTGACAAAAGAGTATTCTGTGATATCATTCTGTGATATTTGTTTTTCTCATCATGTGGCTTTTGTTTTCGTTTGGTTTTAAAGGGAAACCTGAATCAATTTTTTTTTGTGAATAAACAAAACCAGGAAAAACATTTATATGCCATTTTTGCGCATAGAAATTATATATCATATGCCTAACATTATTTCTGGTCTGTGTCCAAATATCATGAAACGACCTTGTAGATATGTGTAATGTGGTAATTTTTTTTAAATTCTGTGGCAGACTCTCGTCACAGTTTCAGGTAAAGCCTTAAAAAGCATTCAGATTTAAATTTCAACGATGCCGTTAAATTTAGAATAACTGTTTAGCGTGTCATTTTTAATATCCCTAACCTTGACACCAAAACAATCCATCTGGGATGTGCACGGTTAAACATTTTTAGATTCTCTCAAATTGAAAATTAATCGTATATATGTAGGTACGTGAGGAACTTTGAATTATTCACATTAAAATCGCCCAATAACTACAGAGCTATAACTGCAAACTGCCATACTTGTGAACTCACCGTGTAGTTGAAGAAGGAATGTCTGAGTACAGGCAGGTACCTGCTGGCAGGCCACACGATAGCTATGATTAAGATGACAACTCCTAACCTGTCAATATCTCAGGACTCTAAGGAACAAACTGCACTGAAATCAAATATCAAATAATTTATATATACATTTTGAATGAAAGCAAAACAGGTAATACTTTCTAAAAGAAAGAAAGTGAAATAAGCCCTCCCCAGCTACATTTATTGATAATTCTTTAAGTATAGAAAGTAAAAATGACAGTTTGCATGATTTCTGTGTCAAAAAAGACAGACATTGGGAAACTGCCCGTCTGACTGGTCATGATCACTAAATATGCCAGAGAACCTCCAAGACTTTTTATATCACAGAAACTCTGGACTGGCAAGGTTTATGTAAAAATACATTACAAAGTAATAAATCACATGCAAACATAGACTGGCAGAAATAAAACACTTTGTCCAGAATTATAGAACTGGGAGGACCTGCAGTTTTCTCGTAGAGCTGGTCCTCCCAACCTGCAGTATCTCCAAAGATTTCCCTATGTCTTAGTTCTAAGTGTTATTTTGTTATTATGTTATTCTGTGGTTCCAAATCTGAGAACATTTTATTTAGAGTTCTATGATGATGGCATGATCAGCACTGGTCTGCTAGAAATAACCAACATCTAAACTACTACGTATAAAATGCTGCCTATAATTACTTTTATTTTTTTTCCTTTTTTATTTTTTGAAAATTTCACATATCATGGTGATAGTAATTAGTAGCTTCTATGCAGCCCCAGTCTGATGACATCACAATGCGTTATCTAATCAGCAATGGTCATATTCCTCATATAACTAGCCATTGTCATACCAATGTAAGCTGATATGTCCAGTGCGTAGGTTAAGGCTGACATTCCAATACTGTCATAGGAGCCAAACGGGTGGTGCTTGCATATTGTGTAGCCAGGATTCTAAAGATCGATTGGGTTCTTCACGTTCGAGTTTCACATTGTTAGGGTTCTTTAATGTTCTTTTATCTGCATTCTACGTCCTTCATAAATATAATGTATTATGATGCTATAGAGAAAGAAAAACAGTGAACTCATGCGGTATTAGTGGAATACTTACCGTTATAAAAGATAGTATCTCGGGTTGTTAAGGCATCCCAAATCCGCACTCTTATGGTTTACAGAGTGACGTCACCAGCAGGTGCGCATGCTCGTGGTGAAGCAAAACTTGACATCGATAATTCACTTCAACGTTGATTCAAGATGATCCTCCACTGTATTTTTCGCAGGTTAAAGTGATACGATCTCAAAATAACGGATGTTTTACTGTATTTCTAAGTAATAATTAGCTTTATTTATCTATCAATAGAGTGTTTTCTTTATAATGGGTCATTCCAAAACATTCCCCTTGACAATTTAAATATCTTTAAAGTAAAACTTGTGTGAAACATTAGAGGAGGAGGAATATCAGCGGCTCATCAATGTTCTGCTATCTGATACCCTGCATTATTTTTCGATTCAATCCGAGAGAGAGAGAGAGAGAGAGAGAGAGAGAGAGATGTCAGGTTGAATTAATCTATTCACGAATGGTATACATGCGACAGTGGTATATTGTATATTGGAACATTAGAAAAAGAATAAACAAATAAAAAGAATAAATAACTCTATCATAATGTTGTAGTCAACTTAAATGTGACTGTGGATAGAAGAAGCTTCTTTCATACGAGTAGCTCTACAGGCAATCATAGACATAGACCGATTAGGAATAATATGCCATACACGACCATATATCGTGACTTAAATGTAGAGCATACACATAAAAAAGAAATTGGTTTTTGAAATAGCGTGTTCAGTGTACGATAACAGGCTTTAACCAAGCGAAGAATGAAAAAAAAACTAATTATCCCTGTATCTACGAAAAATGATTCTAAAAATATAACATGTTGTTTTGTTATGTAACAGTTCAGAGAGACCGTGTTGAGCTCAGCGATTTCCTCCGCCTTCACTACGACCTTCATTCTTTATTGTCTCCGTAAATATAACTTTCACCTCGAGTAATCATGAACGTGAAACTCTCGTAACTGATTTGAGACTAGAATCAATTTCTGTCTGAATATTGTTAATCTACCTGATACTTCGCCCACATGGCGCCATTATTTGTGAGGAAATTAAGTTAGTAACGCTCGCTCTTACAAAAACAGACGCCTGAACTTGCATAGGCCCCTACAAAATCATTCAGAATTTACTCTCGGCATATGTGACATTTAAAAGAAAATTAACTCTATGACAAGTCAATTCTATTTAATCTATTTTCTTTTATTTGTTTAAATTTAAAAAAAACATAGCAATTTCCGCAGTCTAATTTTAAGATTCAAGCGGAAGTTCAATGTGTGTATACGTATGGGCGTGTCTGCTATTCCTCCAATCACGTTGACGTTTTCAGCTCAACTGTGTATATGGAGTTCCATAAAGGTGCCGTTCAACTGTATTTATGGAGTTACAGTACATGGTGTCGCCAATTTCCCAGCTTCTTTTGCGCGGCACTGTTATCGTTGGTTTCATAATCCACTCTTCAGAGAATACCTTTCACCATGCTTTTGAAGCCTGCAGAAATCAAGTAATACATGCCATAGGTTAACTAAGTATCAAACTGATGAACATGTAGTTTTCTACTTTTATGATCTATTAACACGGCCTATTAGATGTACCTCACGTCATAACTCCATTTAAAATAAAACTTAAGGCTCTGTCACACCTTGCGTAAAGACGTACAGTACGTATGAGTACATGTTTATCGTATGTGACATCGATGATACGCACAACTTTGAGCGCATGAAACACCCTATTTCCAGCGTATTTTAATTTAAAAATGGAGATACAAGCAGCACATGAAATTGCTTTTGAACAAGCTCAAGATGTTTTATCTCCCTCCCCGTAGGCGGACGTACACCAACGTTTGCCTGCGTGCTCGAGACGTATAGCCTTCGACGTAAGAATTCCTTTCGTTTGTCTGGGTATGTTCAATTTATCTCATACGTTAGCGCTATAACGCAAGATGGGGCAGCACCGTTAAAGAAAAGAAAACGCATTGGCATGTAAATGTACAAGTATGTTTTATTATTGCAAAGCAAATATTTTTAAGACTGCAAAGATACCTAAAAATGCAGTTTCCTTACTATTTAATCTCATATCTATATTTATTCTTGAATCTATATTTACCTTCCCAGAAGCCTTTGCTGCTACCCTGTTCCCTGTAGCCAGTAATGGCGGTATTATACGCCACTTGGAAGCGTCCTGTGCCGTACACTGTCCCTCTCTCCGGGTGCTCTCGTTTAAAATACCCGGTATCTACCATAGCGACACAGTTCTTATAGTCCTCGTATCGACTCATCACTTCCTCGTACATACGAGCGTAGTTCTCCCGCAGCCACTGCATGGCGTACTGTTGAGTAAAACCTGGAAGATTATAGAAAGGAGGGCCTTAGAATTTGATGGTTTAGTTTAATAACTAAAAACCGACGACAGTAATGTTTTTTTTTTTTTAGTCGGGTACGGAAATGGCTTCAAAGAATGTTTTCTCCATTTCTTTCTTTCTTTTTAAATTTCTTGATTTCTTTCTTGTTCTTTTGTTGAGCAGGAAACTCTTTCCTTTTCTTTGAAAGGGCTTCTGCATGTATGGTGGTATAAATAATGCATTTTAAAAACTATTTGGGGTTTATATCTAGGTTATGATAGAATATCTATCTTTCATCGAATTATTATATTTAATCAAAATTCTCAAACCTTTGTGAGTTTTTTTCTTATCTTACGATACAGATAAATTCGGTAGAAAGGGTGTTTTACTGTATAATGAAATAAATTTGTCCCAAAAGAAGTTGATTTGCCTATATGTCTGCCTCTGTTTATGTAATATTGCATTCTATTTAGATTTGGAACGAGGTTTAAATTGGGAAATGTCATTGTGAATTGAGTAACTTGAGATTGAGACAATAACACGCTAAGATGATGTGCCTTTAACATTTTTTCTTGAGTGTGTTGTGTGTGCGCGTGTGTGCCCGCGCGAGCGTGTGTGTACGAGCTTTCAAAATATTGCCAATTTAACTCATCTCCATCTTTCACCTATACGTGTTAAACGCACTGACATTAAGACACTGCTTCAATTTACAGGTATGTTTGCGCACGATGGCGTTCGTGTCAAGAGATCGTGATGACAAGAGATGGTGAGATGACAACTGGACTCTACATGTATCACCACTTGTACACATCGGCAAAGGTTAGAAGGTTTCTCTGTACTGTCAATGCAACCAAAAGGCCCAATAAAAATACGTCGACGTGTATGTATAGTAGACCTACAACCTTTAATTCGACATTGTGTAAGTCAGGGATCGTTTTTATATACCAAACTTCTATTTAAAACATTAAACGTTATATGACATTGGCAATATCATGTATTAGCGTGAGTGAAATATAGAATAACGGGTTTGAGTGGCGTGTATGTTTCAGAAAACTTGTCCAAGCATAGATTCAAAATATGCAAATTGGGTTTCTGTTTTGTAGATATCAGCTTTGAAAATGCACCTTCTTGGCTACGTCTGAGGGATGCTTGGCGTTGTCATCAAATTAGTTATCTCCTTGAGTCGTCATATTGAGCTCACCAGTAAGGTGTTTGGAAACGCATTACAAGCTTAAGTAAATAATGACGGCTCAATAAATCTTAATGAACGCAGCATTGCCAGCTAAACAATGCACTCGTTTAGATTCATTAATTTTCAAAATGATCTTCAAGTTTTGTGTGGCATTCATTTATTAAAGGTACATTTGAACCAAGCGTCGGTGGACAGTGGATTCCCAGTTACTCATATACACCACTGCTTTAAACTGCACCTTTTTCACATATTTGGTCTTAAATTTAACTTTATTATCTGACCGACTTTTCGGCCCCGTGTGTACAGCACAGGAATCAAGCAGAAAAATCCGTTCAAATATCACTTTTAGGTAATATGAAATGGTGTCTTTTGGTATTTATCTAAAAGAGTTTAACGTGGCCGTTGTTAGGAAATACGAAATGTTTACACCGATGGTCGGCTTGTTATCACAAATGATATAATCCTTTGTAGATATCGAAAACCATTGAACTCTAAGACCTAACAACATTTATTCCCATCGTTTTAACTGGTCAAAAGGTTTTTTTTTTTTCACAGACATTGAATCGAGAAAACAAAACGCGCTCGTATGTATGTCTTCTTGTGGATTCTTTTCAAGAAATATTTAATTTCAGGCGCCCAGGACTCCGTAACTCGAAAACATCGAGTATTGCAAATATCGATATCACATAGAGACTACAGTGTATTATATGGGGCGGGTATGGGCTAGTTATGGAATCGAGACGCTTGCGCTCGGTCGCAATGCGCGATGCTTTCGAGTTACGAGGCCCAGGTGTTTTTTCAGTGTCTTAACGTCAAAGAACACACCTTTTCTACCTTCAGTTTGGTCCTACACCTTATGCTAGCTGCTTGGTGCACGTCAGCAAGTATCGCGTCACAGACCACGTGATCTGTCCTTTTGCATATTGCGGTGGGTTGTTTTACTACGATTTCTTTTTTAACAATCCATTCTTTAGTAGGGTAATCAATTTTGATTTATCTCTAGTGTGCAGACCAATCATATTTTTATGTAAAACGCCACATTTTTGACCAACGCGTCTATTAAATTCTGTACGATTTGATGCTGCGGTATACGGCATTAAGAGTGGGCTTACTGCACATTTAGCAAATGAAATGTACTCTGTTCCTTATGATCTCAAGTTATGTAACAATGTGAACTCAGAGACAAGACAGACAAACCAGTTTCTAATTCAAATGCACGCATTAGTGCACCAGCAGTTGATTGCTTTGAAGAAGAATAAAAATCCTTACCTTTTTTTGCTGCAAAAGTCCTCACGGTTACCATGGGGTTATCTCCACAAGCGTGACTCTTACACAGACTACTGATTATTAGAAGTAGAGAAAAAGCTATCACTATTTTATGCCGCAACAGCATCTGAAATGAAAAGTTTTACAAAGACCTTTAGGCATAAATTTGGGCAGGCAAACTGATCTTCTGCTAGAGAAAAAAGTTGTACACTAACTTTTGCCGCAACACCATCTGGAATGAAAAGGTTTACAGGTTTGATATAAACAAAGACGTGCGCCAAGTATCTATTTCGTGC